CTCTAAAAGATACACTCCTTGTAGTTAGAGAGGAAAATGATGTAAGTGGGCAGGTGGTAAAGCCCATTTACCCAGAAAAATCTGATAATGACGGTACTCTAACGCCTAACCAGAGTACTTCTAATTCTTGCGGAACTGTGAGAGCTAAGTATACAGCAAGCGACAATATAGAAGACATTCATAAGGTCCATGTTACAATTCGACCTAAACCTTATGATTTATCCACCTGCTTTAATCAATTCCTTCTATTTATCAACTCTCCTCCAATCCAAGCTCCCCAAACACTCAATTCCTTTTTTTTACACCTAGCAACAACAACCGCTATACATATTACTGGTCCAATTCCGACAGTTCTATGGAAGGTGCAGCTATTATGATTCATAACCATCTCAAGCCCCATGTTCATAGCTGCCTCACACACCCTGGTGGAGCTATTGCACTAGACCTTTTCTTTAAAAGCAACATCAAACTCCGCATAATCCAGTCAGGGATATTACCAAAAAGGGATAACGGTTCTAGAACATTTCTAGAATGATCTACTAACAAATCACAAATTTTGATTGGCTCTTGACGGTCTTTTTAGAGCCAAGATTTTACATTTTAGCGTAATATCTGTCTATACTTAAACGATATATAAATTCAAAGTAAAAATACTCTAGATTAATAATCCATAATGATCCTGTCATAATCCAATTTTTTAAAAAAGGTAAATGAAAAGTGAAAATCGCTATTTAGATATTAAAACTACATATTTACTTTTTTTTTTTTAGAGACTAATATTAAGAACGATGTCGCAGTCCTCATCAGTCAAGCAAGGACCAAAAGCCAAAGAACTTCTCTGCATATTTCTTGATCTAGTTCGTAATTACAGTAGTCGGGGATTAAACGATTGTGGAATACCAAAATTGGATCATTGGAGAAACGCTAATGCGCCATTAGCGGCTAGTAAACTTGAAGCACTTAAAGATTTAATACCAGAACTTAGTGATCGACAATTTTCTCAATTTTCTCTTTGTGTAAACCATTATAATCAAGTTGTAGTTTCTGATCATTTTTACCAACAACTTTTAGGTAGTTCTAGTAACAGATCCCGTCTTGAAGATAGTTCTAATAACGATTCTACCTCTGCTTCCGAATTTAATGAAATGATTGTTGAAGATGTATCACGCCACTTGTTAGATTTTGAAATACTTGCAGATAATAATAAGTATATAATAACAGAATTACAACGGCAAGTAAAAAGTAAAAATGATGTAATATCCAGGTTAAACAAGCAACTAGAAGAATGCTATAAAATGATAGCTTAGCTAAGAGAATTATATGAAAGCCAATATGAAGTAAATGAACAGCTAACTGAACAGTGGAATTCTCGGTATAGCAATCAGCATAAGCGTATACAAGCCATTATTGATATTGCGTTAATCGAACGAGAAGCATTATATGAAGATGTCGAATCTCTTATTAGAAATAACAATAGATTTTCTCTAGAAAATCTATTAGAATATACTCCACAAACATGGCTAAGTAAACGTAATCTGGTTGTTGTAAAATTTATCGAAACACTAACTAGTAATAATTTCGATGCAGGTTCTAAAAGCACTAAAAAACTTTATAAAAGGGTGATGGCAGTTGATTTGGTATACAGGTCCAGACATGGAAAATATGTCTCAGAAATGGGTCTTATGGCGTCAGCCATTAAATATTCTATCGCACGATCCAAAACTATCATTAATGTTGATAACCATATTACAAGCTCAGGGAGTTATTCTAGTTTTCAAAAATGGTTAGATGAATTAGGTGAAAAAGAAGAAATTTTACCAGACGGTCTTTTATTCTTAGCGTTCGATAATGAACAAAGGGGGCAAAAAAATTATTTAGATCAGGGGCTTAATATGGTTATATTTCATATCGTCACCAGTTTTGTTGCTTTCAATATGGACTCTCATAATCATATCCAGCATACTAATGATAATCCTTGGATTTTTAATTCCCTAAGTAGGTCACAATACGAAAGCCTTTTTGATACTACATCTGAAATGTGAGAAGTTATTGACCAAGAATTATATACATATATTTCTGAATTACTTGATTTGTTATGCGAAGAAAATCATCTGTGACTAATACGATTGATTCAATTGCTTCTAATATAGGTTCAAGTAGTCGTTGTAGTAAACATTGTTCTAGCTATAACGAGAAGAATATTGATAATCGGAAGCAGGTGTGCCTTAAATGTAAATCTCATCTACCTACGTTAGCAGAAATGTCAAAAGATGATGATAAAGTTGAGAATATAACAGAAAAGTCAATTGCGTTTAAGCCATATAGTGTTGAAGAGCAGATTCGATGATCCAATGCACCAAGAATTAGCATAACTCAAAAAGCACATACCGATCAAGAAGTTAATGTTCTGGAAATCTTTGTCCCTGACCCCCTTGATATTAATCCAAATTCAACTGCTAACGTTGAAAAAATTTTTCTTCACATTGAGAATATAGCAGGAATTAAAAATGGGACGCGTAAATGGGCAGTTGTAACTTGCGATGGCATTCCATATCATCGAATGGCTAACATAAAGGATAAATATCCATAGTTAGTTCTTGTTCCTGGGCCATTATATGAGGAAATGAACATGCTTCGAGCATACGTTGAATTAAATTGGTAATTTGTATTGTTAAATACTTTTTTTTTTTTGTATTTATATTAACTTTTAATTGCTTAAAAATAGAAGTATCGATCTTAAACAATTTGCAATATCCCAGGGATATAAGACCGAAAATCAGCTTAATTATTTTAAGAAATGCTACGATCACCACAAGTCATGAGATTCGGTCTGCAACATTTATCGCCAAGCTATGGCTTTAGAGTTAATATGGCTATATGTTAAAAGTCATTCTATTTTGTTAGTAGAGGGTTATTTATCCTGGGTAAGAGAACAAAAGAATCTGCTTTATCAAGTAAAATTCGAGCAGGTAAATTTAAGAAATTAAATTCACCAGAATATCTAGTTTCGAAATCAGACATCTATTTCAAAACAAATCATGATTAATTTATATATATATATTTTTAGATATTTATTTATCTTCAAGCTATTGTTAATTACAGAACAGCGATTAGGAAAAACAATCCGTTATTGAAAGAGCTGCGAAAAGAATTTTCTCTCCAATATGGTCTGCACGAAGGCACCCAATATACTGTCATATAGAAGCTTTTGATGAAATACAATTTATGCGGCTTGACCTATTGGTAAGAGATATTATAGAAAAAAATTGTGTTGTATCTTGGTCAAGATTCATTAACCAGCATCAAGGACAAGATGCAATTTTAGAAGAAATAAATAAAGCTCTAAAAACTTTAATACCTCCCGTCCCACAAATGCGGCATTGGAAAATTGCAGCTCGAAATTGTAAAAAGTTTTTTCAGGTATGTATCTGATTATTTATAACCTAATTCTTTACATAAATTTATTTACATATCGAATTTTAGTTGCGAAATAATTTCTTCAACTTAATTGGATTAAATGATTCTCAAATGACTGGTCCAAGGAATCGGCCGGAAGCGACTACAGAGTGCCAGAGATTTCGAGCTCGCCTACGTAAAGATAATTTCATTAATCTAACAATAGACTTGAAAACTACCTATAATAGCTTGGGAGAGGAATATGAATTAAGTTCACAATTAATGGATTTCACTAATTTAGCTAAACAAGCTAGACGTGAATATATTACTAATGTTTTTATTAATAATGGCTCGGCTCCTTTATTTAGACCAATTCCGATTACTAAACAAGAAGCTATTGCGCAAACAAGTGAAGTATCTATGACGAATGC